CACACTGCACACTGCCCTATCCCATCTGGACAAGAGGAATACCTATGTAAGAATGCTGTTCATTGACTATAGCTCAGCATTCAACACCATAGTACCATCCAAGCTCATCATTAAGCTTGAGGCCCTGGGTCTCAATCCCGCCCTGTGCAATTGGGTCTTGGACTTCCTGACTGGCCGCCCCCAGGTGGTGAAGGTAGGAAACAACATCTCCACTTCACTGATCCTCAACACTGGGGCCCCACAAGGGTTTGTCCTCAGCCCCCTCCTGTACTCCCTGTTTACCCATGACTAAGTAGCCATGCACTTGCATTACCCGTCTCATATGTATATACTGTATTCTATACTATCGTAATAATGTTTACATATCTTGCATTACCCGTCTCATATGTATATACTGTATTCTATACTATCTATTGCATCTTAGACTATGCCCCTCTGACAATGACATTGCTCATCCATTTATTTATATATTCTTATTCCATTCCTTTACTTAGATTTGTGTGTATTAGATGTCGTGGAACTGTTAGATATTACTTGCTAGATATTACTGCACTGTCGGAACTAGAAGCACAAGCATTTCGCTACACTCGCAATAACATCTGCTAAGCATGTGTATGTGACCAATACATTTGATTGGATTTGATTTGAGGCAGGTTGCTTAGGATTCAAACCTTCTCAAACAGCCTAATTCATACTCTTCAGAGCAGTGTCGGTCGGTGCCATTTAAGATGAGGGAGGACAATTTTATTTGAATGAGCATGGCCTTATTTCTATTACAGCATATTGGATGACTGTCATTCATATTCCATTCACCCAGTTCAATGTAACAGCGATAGATTTAGGCTACTACATGATACTCAAATTTTCCCTATAACCATCATGAGATTGCTACAACCTAGCCTATGAAGGAAAGATTACAACGTAGGTGCAAACAGGTCTAAATAAACATTTGAGGCAACAGACAGTGACATATGGACAGACAGTGACACATTCAAAACCGCCTTGCACACTCTTGCCTGCATCTAGCTGATCTTGGGTGTAATCATTAGTCCAACAGTTGCAAACAAGAGTTTCTATTGGACAAATTCAGGTATGTTTATCCCCGTTTCTTTCCGTTTGCTTCCGTTTAATAAACTTTTTTCAACAGAATCGGCGGAATAAATACACCCCTGATCTTGAAATACAGAAATATCTAATTTACATAAGTATTCACACCCCTGAGTCAATACATGTTAGAATCACCTTCGGAAGAGATTACAGCTGAGAGTCTTTCTGGGTAAGTCTCTAAGAGCTATGCACAACTGGATTGTACAATATTTGCACATTATTTAACTCCTTCAAGCTCTGTCAAATTCGTTGTTGATCATTGCTAGACAACCATTTTCAAGTCTTGCAAAGACATAACACTTTGTATTCAGGACATACAGTTGAAGTCGGAAGTTAGGTTGGAGTCATTAAAACTCGTTTTTCAACCACTCCACAAATTTCTTGTTAACAAACTATAGTTTTGGCAAGTCGGTTAGGACATCTACTTTGTGCATGACACAAGTGATTTTTCCAACAATTGTTTACAGACAGATTATTTCACTTATAATTCACTGTATCACAATTCCAGTGGGTCAGAAGTTTACATACACTAAGTTGACTGTGCCTTTAAACAGCTTGGAAAATTCCAGAAAATTATGTCATGGCTTTATAAGCTTCTGATAGGCTAATTGACATCATTTGAGTCAATTGGAGGTGTACCTGTGGATGTATTTCAAGGCCTACCTTCAAACTCAGTGCCTCTTTGCTTGACATCATGGTAAATTCAAAAGAAATCAGCCAAGACCTCAGAAAACAAATTTTAGACCTCCACAAGTCTGGTTCATCCTTGGGAGCAATTTCCAAACGCCTGGAGGTACCACGTTCATCTGTACAAACAATAGTATGCAAGTATAAACACCATGGGACCACGCAGCCGTCATACGCTCAGGAAGGAGACGCGTTCAGTCTCCTAGAGATGAACGTACTTTGGTGCAAAAAGTGCAAATCAATCTCAGAACAACAGCAAAGGACCTTGTGAAGATGCTGGAGGAAACAGGTACAAAATGTTCTATATCCACAGTAAAACAAGTCCTATATCGACATAACCTGAAAGGCCTCTCAGCAAGGAAGAAGCCACTGCTCCAAAACCACCATAAAAAAGCCAGACTACGGTTTGCAACTGCACATGGGGACAAACATTGTACTTTTTGGAGAAATGTCCTCTGGTCTGATGAAACAAAAATAGAACTGTTTGGCCATAATGACCGTCATTATGTTTGGAGGAAAAAGGGGGACGCTTGCCAGCCGAAGAACACCATCCCAACCGTGAAGCACCGGGGTGGCAGCATCATGCTGTGGGGGTGCTTTGCTGCAGGAGGGACTTGTGCACTTCACTAAATAGATCATGATGAAGGAAAATTATGTGGATATATTGAAGCAACATCTCAAGACATCAGTCAGGAAGTTAAAGCTTGGTCGCAAATTGGTCTTCCAAATGGACAATGACCCCAAGCATACTTCCAAAGTTGTGGCAAAATGGCTTAAGGACAACAAAGTCAAGGTATGGGAGTGGCCATCACAAAGCCCTGACCTCAATCCTATTGAAAATTTGTGGGCAGAACTGAAAAAGCATGTGCGAGCAAGGAGGCCTACAAACCTGACTCAGTTACACCAGCTCTGTCAGGAGGAATGGACCAAAATTCACCCAACTTATTGTGGGAAGCTTGTGGAAGGCTACCCGAAACATTTGACCCAAGTTAAACAACTTAAAGGCAATGCTACCAAATACTAATTGAGTGTATGTAAACTTATGACCCACTGGGAATGTGATGAAATAAATAAAAGCTGAAATAAATCATTGACATTTCACATTCTTAAAATAAAGTGGTGATCCTAACTGACCTAAGACAGGGAATTTTTACTAGGATTAAAAGTCAGGAATTGTGAAAAACTGAGTTTAAATGTATTTGGCTAAGGTGTATGTAAACTTCCGACTTCAACGGTACAGCTGATTTTTTTGCCACATTGTTTTGCAGTTTTACTTTAGTGCTTTATTGCAAATAGGATGCATGTTTTGGAATATTTTTAGTATGGACAGGCTTCCTTCTTTTCACTCTGTCATTTAGGTTAGTATTGTGGAGTAACTACAATGTTGTTGATCCATCCTCAGTTTTCTCCTATCACAGCCATTAAACTCTGTAACTGTTTTAAAGTCACTATTGGCCTCATGGTGAAATCCCTGAGTGGTTTCCTTCCTCTCCGGCAACTGAGATAGGAAGGATGCCTGTATCTTTATAGTGACTGGGTGTATTGATACACCATCCAAAGTGTAATTAATAACTTCACCATGTTCAAAGGGATTTTAAGTCTGATACAAAAAAAACATTAATCTACCAATAGGTGCCCTTCTTTGCGAGGCATTGGAAAACCTCCCTGGTCTTTGTGGTTGAATCTGTGTTTGAAATTCCCTGCTCGACTGAGAGACCTTACAGATAATTGGTCTGTATGTGTGGGGTACAGAGATGAGGTAGTCATTCAAAAATCATGTTAAACACTATTATTGCACACAGTGTCAGTCAATGCAACTTATTATGTGACTTGTTAAGCACATTTTTACTCCTGAACTTATTTAGGCTTGCCATAACAAAGGGGTCGAATACTTATTGAGTCAAGATATTTCAGCTTTTCATTTTTTATTAATTTGTTAACATTTCTAAAAACATTGTAGTGGCTGAAAACCCTTGGGATAAGACAAAATGTCTTGGGTTCCCTTGGGTTCTCTAGAACAAGCCTACTACTATCTGGCTACCAGTTGCGCAGCAACCCAAGTACTTTGGACCGTGTTTTAAAACTTGTAGATTAGGCAGAAAAAAGATGTTAGCATTGTCAGAAATGCTACAAAAAGGTAGTGCAACGGGGATTCTCTATTGGCACGTGAGAGCGATAAATTATACATTTAATCAAAACTGTTGCACCTACAAACGTATTCAGTCCAACAAATGTTAAGTCCGATGGTCACCGTATGGATGCTATAGTCTCGTTTTAATCAGACGTTAAGAATTTGAGCTAGGTGGTCACAATACATTTAATTTTTTCCTAATGCTAACGACCCTGACATAAAATCCGGTATGTGGTTCTCGGTAATGGCTGAACGGATCATGACGAGAGGCGGGGAGTGTGTTGTGTAACTCCAATAAAGGTAATTTGCTAAGTTTAATCGACATGTTTGGCTTAGATGTGATGGTAGAAAAATTAGAATTTAACATTGAGCATCAATCAATCCCTACTTATTGTGGGGTTGTTGCCCCCACCTGTTGGAATTTACTTAAAGTTTCACTTGAAAACACAATAACTAATTGACATCGTTAATCACTGTAATATTTTGTGTAGATGTTTCTATTACTCCAACTGATCTTATGAATATGCATTAGAAGTGTTTAATCCCCCCTTGTTCAATACCGCTTATCCAGTGCCACATCTGAAGTGGTGCACCATCTCTGTGTTGCGATGACACATTCTCTCGCTGAGGACCCTCTCAGGGGAATGTTTGTATTGGTTGGACCAATGTTCACGTTCTAGTGAAATGAAACACAGCTTAACCTTGACCTCTGAATGACTAGCAGACCCTGAAAAAGATGGGAATATCTGCTATAGCTTTGATATGTAATGAGAGATTGGGAAATGAGAGGGCACCTTGTCGCGTTCAGATCAAGTCTAATATTAGCTACTTGGCATCTCAGACTCTTCTCGAGTAACAAGTACTAGGTCTTGTAGCAGCAAGACTTTGGGCTTGGTTCAACCCTGTGGACGGTGACAGAGAGAGCGGGAGAGAGAAAGAGAGACAGGGAAAGCCAGAGAGAGAGAGAGCTCTATTTAATAGCAGTAGTATGTGGCAGCGTTCGCCTAGTGATGGGAAGATGGCAGGAGAAACACCAGAGAGTTCAGGGACTTCACTGCTTCATGACGCAGCAGCTACAGCTAGCAAGCACAGGCACTTCTTAAAGGATGTGATTTTTCACGGCAAATTTCAGGTGAGTGGAATGACGAAGATACAGTATGTATGGATTTATATAATGGGGGAAAGCTTCATCACATAACAGTTTGTTTTTATAGTAAAGATAAGTTTGGCAGTTATTTCACTTGCTTTTAAAGTTTGATTTGTTGGGAAATAATAGGTGGAAGTATGTTTGTTGAGTGTAAATGTAGTTTAAAAACCTACTTACACATCAAGTTGGTTAAGTAATAGCCTGAATACATATATTCTGCCTTTTGTTAATCCATCCTTTATAACTTTTTTGCCAGGTTTTTATCTCAATATAGTTGAGAAATGGCTTGACCTGGTTTGGCAGTTTGTAGAGAGATAATTATCATGTAGGCTAAAAACAGAACAAGTATCTGCTGTAGACGTCTGACACGTTTTACTGTCTTGTTCCAAGGCGCGGAGTTAGTCTCAGCACAGAGGGGGCGGGGTGTCCTCGAGGGGCCCGTCTGACCAAATCATTTACAAAAATGAATAGCTGATATGGCCTATCATAAATGCAAATTGCAAATTAGGCTGTTAGGCAGTCAGCCGCTGAAAATAAATGTGACCAGTCATGATTATCAGTCTATAGGGAATTAAATTGGCTCGTGTGTATTTTCATACAGAGCCTAGTTTGAGCAGAATATCACCTGTTGCGCAGCGAGAGATCACAATCACAGCTCATCAAATCACATTTTATTTGTCACATTGAGGGAGAGGTTGTTGTCCTGGCACCACACTGCCAGGTCTCTGACCTCCTCCCTATAGGCTGTCACATTGTTGTCGGTGATCAGGCCTACCACTGTTGTGTCGTCAGCAAACTTAATGATGGTGTTGGAGTCGTGCTTGGCCACGCGGTCGTGGGTGAACAGGGAGTACAGGAGGGGACTAAGCACGCACCCCTGAGGGGTCCCCGTGTTAAGGATCAAACATGTGTTCTTATACGCCCACTCATTGCGCAATATTTCTACATGCAACAGAGTTTTGATGTCCACTGTTAAAAAGAGGAAGATCCTAGCTTTCCATTGCTACTGTAGGCTAATTATTTCTCAACTCTTAATATTAAGCAACAACCAATCGAGTGCAGGCATATGGTAGGCTATCATCAGCAACCTTGCAATCTGAGCTGGAAGCAGTCTGCATGTTGAAAACATGCATGTTGAAAACATATACTGTAGGTAACAAACTAATTTATGACGTGCGGCCCCACTCCACATCCGGCTAGCTAGCTGCCACAGAGAACTTAACTAATTGATCATAAAAGCAGCGATAGAGGAGAGTGGGGTAATTTGAACCAAAGGGGTAAGTTGAGCCCCGCTTGTTTCTAGGAAACGATACACAAAATCTATTATTTTACCAAATATTTAGGTAGAGGTCATAATTTCATTAAGTACTGTATGTGAAGGAAGAACCACATGGAAAAGGTGGTTTTTTATTTATTTATTTTATTTCACCTTTATTTAACCAGGTAAGCCAGTTGAGAACAAGTTCTCATTTACAACTGGGACCTGGCCAAGATAACGCAAAGCAGTGCGGTAAAAACAACAACAACACAGAGTTACATATGGAATAAACAAAATGTACAGTCAAAAACACAATAGAAAATCTATATACAGTGTGTGCAAATGTAGTAAGTTATGGAGGTAAGGCAATAAATAGGCCATAGTGCAAAATAATTACAATTATAATTTAGTATTAACACTGGAGTGATATATGTGCAGAAGATGATGTGCAAATAGAGATACTGGGGTGCAAATGAGCAAAATAAATAACAATGTAAATAACAATATGGGGAGAAGGTAGTTGGGTGGGCTAATTACAGATGGGCTGTGTACAGGTGCAGTGATCGGAAAGCTGCTCTGACAACTGATGCTTAAAAATAGTGAGGGAGTAAAGTGTCTCCAGCTTCAGAGATTTTTGCAGTTCGTTCCAGTCATTGGCAGCAGAGAACTGGAAGGAATGGCGACCAAAGGAGGTGTTGGCTTTGGGGATGACCAGTGAGATATACCTGCTGGAACGCATACTACGGGTGGGTGTTGCTATGGTGACCAATGAGCTAAGATAAGGTGCGGATTTGCCTAGAAGTGATTTATAGATGACCTGGAGCCAGTGGGTTTGGCGACGAATATGTAGTGAGGGCCAGCCAACGAGAGCGTACAGGTCACAATGGTGGGCAGTATATGGGGCTTTGGTGACAAAACGGATGGCACTGTGATAGACTACATCCAATTTTGCTGAGTGGTAAGCAAGTTAGGTCCAAAAAAATTATTTTCACCAAGTCAAATTAATTTATTGTGTTAGAGGTTTCATGATGCTTGTATCTGAACCAAAGTAGACCATTTTAAGATTGTTCTATACTTCCGCTGGAGTCTCTATAACCTTCAATATGAGGTCCTAAACCTAGCATGAAAGTGTATCGTTGTAGCTGTGTGGGCTAAAATAGTCAAAATGTGTGCCTTTGGGTAAGTTGAGCCAATGGCCATGGGGTAAGTTGAGCCAATGGTTGAGCCAATGTCAAGTTGAGCAAATTGAAGTGTTTTCTTCCCAGGCATAATGCAAGGCGTTATCTCTGGGATATGAGGTAACAACAGGGCCTGGCCTATGTTAAAAGTGTTAAAAAAAGTACAAGTGTTTGTTGGGTGTTAAGCCTCTGTTAAAAGATGCTTAAAATTATTAAAAGACAAAAAAGCGATTGTGATTGTGTTGAATTGTGTTTGGGAAATAAAGATAGACATGGTTTTAAAAAGTTAGTGGTAATATTTCATGCAGTACAGAAATGTGAAGGCAGCTTAACTTACCCTGTCCTGTGGCTCAACTTACCCCATACCCGGGGTAAGTTCTGCCAAGAGACCACTTTTTTTGGACAGCTATGTTTTCAAAACTATAAAGTTTACATGAATTCTGATTATTTCCATGGATACACAACATCCTGAAATATACACTGAGTGTACAAAACATTAGGAACACCTGCTCTGTCCATGACATAGACTGACCAGGTGAATCCAGGTGAAAGCTATGATCCCTTATTGATGTCACTTGTTAAATCCACTTCAATCAGTGTAGATGAAGGGGAGGAGACAGGTTAAAGAAGGATTTTTAAGCCTGGAGACAATTGAGACATGGATTGTGTATGTGTGCCATTCAGAGGGTGAATGGGCAAGACAAAAGATTAAAGTGCCTTTGAATGGGGTATGGTAGTAGGTGCCAGGCACACCGGTTTGAGTGTGTCAAGAACTGCAACACTGCTGGGTTTTTTATGCTCAGTAGTTTCCGTGTGTATCAAGAATGGTCCACCACCCAAAAGACATCCAGCCAACTTGAAACAGTGGGAGGCATTGGAGTCAACATGGGCCAGCATCCCTGTGGAATGCTTTCGACACCTTGTGGAGTCCATGCCCCGACGAATTGAGGCTGTTCTGAGGGCAAAAGGGGGTGCAACTCAACTTGAGGAAGGTGTTCCTAATATTTTCTACTCTCAGTGTATGTACAGTGGGGAAAAAAAGTATTTAGTCAGCCACCAATTGTGCAAGTTCTCCCACTTAAAAAGATGAGAGAGGCCTGTAATTTTCATCATAGGTACACGTCAACTATGACAGACAAAATGAGAAGAAAAAAATCCAGAAAATCACATTGTAGGATTTGTTATGAATTTATTTGCAAATTATGGTGGAAAATAAGTATTTGGTCAATAACAAAAGTTTCTCAATACTTTGTTATATACCCTTTGTTGGCAATGACACAGGTCAAACGTTTTCTGTAAGTCTTCACAAGGTTTTCACACACTGTTGCTGGTATTTTGGCCCATTCCTCCATGTAGATCTCCTCTTGAGCATTGATGTTTTGGGGCTGTCGCTGGGCAACACGGACTTTCAACTCCCTCCAAAGATTTTCTATGGGGTTGAGATCTGGAGACTGGCTAGGCCACTCCAGGACCTTGAAATGCTTCTTACGAAGCCACTCCTTCGTTGCCCGGGCGGTGTGTTTGGGATCATTGTCATGCTGAAAGACCCAGCCACATTTCATCTTCAATGCCCTTGCTGATGGAAGGAGGTTTTCACTCAAAATCTCACGATACATGGCCCCATTCATTCTTTCCTTTACACGGATCAGTTGTCCTGGTCCCTTTGCAGAAAAACTGCCCCAAAGCATGATGTTTCCACCCCCATGCTTCACAGTAGGTATGGTGTTCTTTGGATGCAACTCAGCATTCTTTGTCCTCCAAACACGACGAGTTGAGTTTTTACCAACAAGTTCTATTTTGGTTTCATCTGACCATATGACATTCTCCCAATCCTCTTCTGGATCATCCAAATGCACTCTAGCAAACTTCAGACGGGCCTGGACATGTACTGGCTTAAGTAGGGGGACATGTCTGGCACTGCAGGATTTGAGTCTCTGGCGGCGTAGTGTGTTACTGATGGTAGGCTTTGTTACTTTGGTCCCAGCTTTCTGCAGGTTATTCACTAGGTCCCCCCGTGTGGTTCTGGGATTTTTGCTCACCGTTCTTGTGATCATTTTGACCCCACGGGGTGAGATCTTGTGTGGAGCCCCAGATCGAGGGAGATTATCAGTGGTCTTGTATGTCTTCCATTTCCTAAAAATTGCTCCCACAGTTGATTTCTTCAAACCAAGCTGCTTACCTATTGCAGATTCAGTCTTCCCAGCCTGGTGCAGGTCTACAATTTTGTTTCTGGTGTCCTTTGACAGCTCTTTGGTCTTGGCCATAGTGGAGTTTGGAGTGTGACTGTTTGAGGTTGTGGACAGGTGTCTTTTATACTGATAACAAGTTCGAACAGGTGCCATTAATACAGGTAACGAGTGGAGGACAGAGGAGCCTCTTAAAGAAGAAGTTACAGGTCTGTGAGAGCCAGAAATCTTTCTCTCTTGTTTGTAGGTGACCAAATACTTATTTTCCACCATAATTTGCAAATAAATTAATTAAAAATCCTACAATGTGATTTTCTGGATTAGTTTTTCTCAATTTGACATGTACCTATGATGAAAATTACAGGCCTCTCTCATCTTTTTAAGTGGGAGAACTTGCACAATTGGTGGCTGACTAAATACTTTTTTTCCCCACTGTAGATGTCTTTGTTAGAAAGAATACTATATTTCCCTTGACGGAGTGATGCTGAATGTAAAACATGTCTTAACTTACTCCACTCTCCCCATAACCTCACATAACCCACATTAGTAGTGAGTGCCTCCTAAAATCATCCCAGTCAGTGGTACAAATGGAACAGTGTCTTAGATTTACATAATGTGAGGTAGAGTATGGAATTGGGTGGAATTGTCAAATTAGGTCATTGTATTAAGTGATTGTATTAATGTGGGGCGGGCCACAATCCACTTCTTACATATTGTGATTAAAAATAGAAAACCAGTTGGGTCAGTCAGTGCTATCAAAATAGTCTGCAGGAATATTGGACAATATTATTACAACTGATAAGTCATAAGACCAACCCAGACCGCTAAAGATCACAGTTAGTCAGCTGTGCTCACCCAAACACAAGAAATGCCCGCATGTCAGCACACACACAAACAATCATCAATCATTTTGGCACTCTTACCTGAAATAAGCTACTGTAGCTCAGGAAGGCTTTGACAGTTCTCCATGTAACTGCCATTTGGGTAAATAATACTATATGTTGATAGTGGCACATAGCATTATGTGCAGTTCTTCATCAGCCTACAACACATGAGATCAAATTATTTTTTTCTGTCATTTCGTAGATGATGTTCCAGAGATGAGTCTGTTGGATGTATCTAATGATAATACCGACTATTGCTACAATATTAGACCACCAGGTCAGGAATAAGCAAAGAGTGTTGGTCATTCAAACATGAATGGTCAAACAAGCTTGGATTTCAGCATATGTTATATCCCTCTGAAAACTTGCCTTATACTGTAAATATCCAACTGAAACCGGATCAACCATGAATATGTCATACATTTTGTTATAATCATGACACAAATATCCAAGTGAATATAGCAAACTTAGAAAGAGAGACAAAAAATCACAGGAATTTTGATTATTCAAATAAACAAATCTAAATGTTATAATGGCCATATAAGACTCCTTCTTTTAAACAGGCCACAGTATAAGGTTGCAATTCTTTGTGAAGAACAGCTTTCTCTCAATGGTTTAATCTTTTCTGGTTTGCAGGGAGACAGTAGATGAGAAATCTGGCATATTACATTATTGTCAAAATCCTACACTTATTTTTTTGATATTTTATTCTCCATTTGTTCTATGATTTGTATGATTATAAACTGTATTTCCACCTTCTCTGTTGTGATATATGTTCAGCAAAGCCTATAGATTTTTTTTTTACAATAATAGATTATAACATTATACCTATAGCAAGCAAGCAAGTTTATTTATATAGCACAATTCATACATCGAAGCAATTCAATGTGCTTTACAAAGATGTTTAGCAAAAATAATGAAAACATCATAATAATAAAAATACAATAAAAAAACATATAAAGATTAAAAATTAAAAATTAAAAATGGGATAAAAACATAGGAAGCTATAAGGCTAAACAGTGTGATTAAGTTTAAGTGCTCAGTCGTAGGCACGTGAAAAGAGAAGTGTTTTTAACCTGGATTTAAAAATGTATACGTTTGGGGCACATCTAAGATCTTCTGGTAGTTTATTCCAGTTGTGTACAGCATAAGTGGTAACGCAGCTTCTCCATGTTTAGTTTGGGCTCTGGGCTCTACTAGCTGACCTGTGTTCATGGATCTAAGCACCCTGCTCGGTTTATATTCTTCAAACATATCAGACATGTACTCGGGTCCTAAACCATTCAAAGATTTATAAACTAAAAGCACCACTTTGAAATCAATTCTGTAACTGACTGGAAGCCAATGTAAAGATTTAAGAACCGGAGTGATGTGCTCCGTTCTCTTGGTCCTGGTTAACATTCTAGCAGCTGCATTCTGAATGAGCTGCAGCTTTTTTACAGTCTTTTTCGGGAGTCCTATTAAGAGGCCATTACAGTATTCAACCCTACTAGAGATAAAAGCATGGATGAGCTTCTCTTGATCTTTTTGGGACACCAAGCCTTTGATTCTGGCTATATTTTTTAGATGATAGAATGCTGTTTTGGTGACCGCTTTGATATGACTGTTAAATGTGAGGTCTGAGTCTATCAGAACACCAAGATTACGCACTTGATCGCTGGTTTTAAGGACCCGAGAATCCAGCTCTATAGACACTATTCATATAAATGAATGATATATCATAAAATATAGCACCAGGAATATTTGGTTAATCGTTTGTACACATACAGAGTAGCAACACAAGCCTTTTGTTGGATATAAAAATGTAAAATACATGTTTTTAAGTAAATAGTTGACCAAATAATTATCAATACTGCTTGCCTTGCGAATCAGCATTTGGGTTCAAAGTCACTGAGAGTGATCACTTCGCCAAGGGGAACTCAATTCCTCAGGAGCCCCATTGGGACTAGGGGACTATCCCACCTTGACCGCTGTAGACTGACTGACTCATTAACCCTGCAGTGCCTCTCACGACGAATGGCAAAAGCTGCACAGCACACACACATACACACATGCACATGATTCAGCTAGGCAGCTAGCCCAAGCAGCCCTCTCTAATGCACAGCCCTCCCCTCTCTCCTCAGCTCCTGAACTGCCTGACACCTGAGGAGAACACAGGATGCCAGCACGGTCTGTACTTCCAGGACGGAGAGAGGCGGGTTGACTACATCCTCACCTACCACATCAAAAAGCCCAGCAGCTCCCGCTCCAACCGACAATCCTCCCGCTTCACTGACAATGCCTTCACGCGGAGCCTCCGCCGTGGGACGGCCAGGCTTGGACGTGCGCCACCCCCTCAGCCCAGAGGTGACCCGGAGGTGGCCTCCCAAGACCACAGCATGGACTACCACGAGGACGACAAGCGCCTCCGCCGGGAGGAGTTCGAGGGTAACCTCAGGGATATGGGCCTGGAGCTGGAGAAGGATGAGGATGTGAGTTGCTTGTCTACGGCTTCTCTGTTCTGTTCTTTTTTACCAAACCCACTCAATATTATCAGCAATATCCAGCCAGATCTAGCGTTAGCTAGCGTTAGCTGTGCGTTAGCTTAGTGCAGAGAGGGGAGAGCATTCCACACAACACAACATCGCTGCACCTCTAAAGTCTTTGTTTTCCAGCTGGCTGGTGGATCAGGGGTATTTTTGTCTTTGGGCTTACGTCAGCCAGTTTGCCTGGAGCCCCCACCAATAACAGTACACAAAAGATACATTGTACTTTGGTACAGCACCAGCAGAAACTGGCCTATAGAGGGCTAGCAGGACTAGCAGCAGGGGGATGGGTAACCAGGGTAACCGGGGTAACCAGGGTAACCTTTTAATCTGCCTGGCTACTGTCATTGGTTTGTTTGTTGGATTTATTTTGAAACTACATTACAGAACCAACCGCATCATTAGTCTGTTATCTGAAGAGGGTTGTGTTTCTCACACCTCACAATTTTGGGGTTTCCTTGAAAATGCCATGATAGGCTTCAATTGAGTCTTTTTAATTAATTAGCGGATTTGGTTGATTTTGTGGTCTCAAACCAGTAGGCTTACTAACATTCTTCATCAAGAATATGGGCAAAATTGATTATTGACAATGGAGAAGGTGGAAATGTTGTTCCCTTGTCATATAAATTGCACATTTACTATCACTATAGCATAAAATAAGCTTTCCAGTTGGCTTTTTTGTTTGTTTTATGATGCGAATATTGGGTTACAACTGAGACAACCTGGTCCAATTTGGGTTCCGAGGCAAAACCAGTTGAGTTTTGACTGGTTTTGACTCAGAGCCTACCCTGCTTACCCCTTCAAAGTAGGAAGATACATATGCAAATGAAAATAGAAGATGACTGGTCATTGGTTACAATAATCAGATCAGATTGTAATGTCATGATCTGGCCCAAAAACTCCATCCCACCTGAACAGGCTGGAATTCCAGGATTTTTTTTCAAACAGCTCTTACACAAAAAGGGCATCATCCAAATGTTCACAATTACAGAGTGTCATTTCGACCTCATAGTGTGAAAATATCATAAACAAATAGGAAAATCTAGTTTTTAACTGCACTGCCCCTTTAAACATTACATAAGTAATAGCAGTGTTATGCTTTATTTTTCTTATTCAAAGCCTATGCATTTAGAATTCAAAATCACTAATCAGGATCAAAAGATGAATCTCTCGTGAAGAAAAGTTGGGCAGCCATTGAATCAACTTGTTGGATTAGATGTCATGAGAGTGAATGAAAAAGGGAAACCCCTGTGTAGTTCCAGTGGTAGTCTTGTGGTGCGTTGACCAACAGTAATCTGTCATAGACAGGACCTGAGGATGTCATGAGGGTGAAGTCCAGTAATATGAGACTAAGTCAGTCCAAGTGCTGAGGATGGCAAGATGACAGCTGCCATGGTGGCTCTCTTTACCCAGACAGGGACAGACAGGGCAGGGCATGGATGGCTCTGTGGAAGGATCACACCATGCACATACACACACACACGTGCGCGCGCACACACACACGCGCCGCACACACACACACACACACACACACACACACACACACACACACACAGCACCAGGCAAGCAGCGCACACTCTCACACAATCTCACACATACAAAGGGCATGTTTTCAATGAATGTGTGAGAAAGAGAGACATATGTCAAGTGTTTTTGGGGACTTTGTGACAGACAGGGTACACGCAAGATTTGGTTCTGGGTGCCAACACCCACTGTGTTATAAATCACTGGTTATAATTTCCACTTTGTCCCCAAATTTCATTCAAGCCACCATTCTATTAACAAAGTGTTTCCCTTGTGGTTATTGTGTCAGACTGTTCACCGTGGGGGGGAAATATAGAGAATAATCTCTGTCTTATGATTTTAGTGGAGAGGGGAGTAATGTTTAGGTATTTTATAATTTATTGTCATCGCCCGTCCTTTGTGGAGTTAGTTGATTAAAACAGCCGCCCTAAGTATTATAGATCATTAAAGTGCTGTTGGCTATACTAATCTGTCTATAGAGGACACTTAGTGGGACTAATTCACATCTGTATCTAATAGAGGGAGGGACACTGGGATGGGACTGAAGTGGGAAGGAAGGAAGCAGAGGTGGTGATGGGATGTGGAGGAGTGTGAATGTTTGGGATTCAAACAATGATGGGATTCATGGGAACTTTCGCTAGGAAACCCATATTAACTAATCTTGACCTATGTTTCTATAACATTCTAGTTGTCTCTGATTCTCAAACAAGAATGCAATGTCATGTCTGACAGTGCGAGACTACATTATAGTTGACTGGATGTCTTTTAGATCTGCAGGCCTACATTCAATACTTGTTGCAGCATCACTTGTTATTAAGGTGTGTTGGGCCAAAGAAAACTAGTACAAATGAAGTAGGACCTGCACACACGGTTGCTCCACCACATACCTTTATAATAATAATAATAATAATAATATGCCATTTAGCAGACGCTTTTATCCAAAGCGACTTACAGTCATGCGTGCATACATTTTTTTTGTGTATGGGTGGTCCCGGGGATCGAACCCACTACCTTGGCGTTACAAGCGCCGTGCTCTACCAGCTGAGCTGGTTACACAACCACATTTTAATCCAAGACTGGCTCTATCAAAACCTCTAACTGTGTCCATGAGTGGTCTGTGTGTTTTACAATGTGATGGTGGGAACAGGATACATGATGCAGTCTCACAAACGCTGTCGCATTCCTAAATCACTTCTGATTAAATGCTGCTCTGAGTACTCAAACTGATTCAGCCTATAGATACCACTGACGCCGCCACGTCTTGAGCTGTTGAAAATGTCACTCCTCTAATGTCTCAGACATGGTGACATTTGTCGCTTGACATACAGTACACAGTACAGAGGCATGTCAAGTCCGAGGTACTTTGATAAGATGTTATGCAAAGACTGATGATCTGTATCAAAAACAAACATGATGCTGGCTCTGAAAGAGACACACAGAGGCTCTATATTGAAGGAGATATTGAAGATGAGAGATTGTGACAAAGGCTGTTAAGACAGTCGGTTGTTCCAGGGAGATCAAAGTTAGAGACTGTGTTTTGTTTAAGATTCTGCGTCCCCTGTTACTAATGATGCTTGTCTTAGCTCTATTGGAGACAATATAAACTGAGAAAGCCTGTAACAGTTGGTTGTTTAGAATTTGAGATAAAAGTTAGAGGCCATCCCCTGCTAGTGATGCTTGTCTTCTCACAGGAGGAGCTGCACATTGGAACAGATGTTCTGTGCTATACCATCTCAGTGGGGGAATGAGCATCTCAGTAACCACTGATTCCATGTAAACAAACAAACTAACTAACCATGATATCCTGGGGGTCATAACTGGGTAACTGGGTGACAGCAGCATCAAAACCTTCACAGTGAATCCCTCCTGTGTTGATGTTGTTCAACGCACATACAGTATTGTGAAATAATATTTGTGTTGGTACTAGTTTGAACTTTCTTTTGTCATTGTCCTAGATTCAAATATTTACATTATCAAGAGACTTGTTTGTATTGATGAGGATGTGTTTCTATAGAATGGTAGCAGATTTCTCTCATGATTTCCCATGGTGTCTCTTTGTCTCTGTGCCATAAGTAGCCTTCAGTTCCCAGACATTGTTTTGATTGAACTGACTATAGAAGAGGGATTTGTTTGGAGAGACTCCATTGTTTACCCAACTGTCATCCAGATGAATGTATTGCTTTCCTTAATGACGAGATAAACGCATGCATTTCTTTCATTCTTTCAGTTTGTTGCCTTTATACATACCTCTAATGTTTATGCCTTCATGTCATGTACTGTTGTTGGTCTAGCATAGAAAGGGACATATTTGTAACAAACCTTAAACTTCCATTTTATGAAAGTTTATTTTATGAAATTAATCTGTTCTGTGTTTATTTCAGACTAAAACTCCAGGTGTGGGCTTTGTGAAGATTCATGCTCCATGGCATGTGCTCTGTCGAGAGGCAGAGTTTATGAAACTCAAGATGCCCACGAAAAAAGTAAGTTAACTGTCGAATGACGTGTAAAGCTTACTAGCTTCTCCAATGAGCTTTGAGAGGGAGGCAAGGAACCAGAGGAAACAAGGACGTAGGAAGCAGGGTTTTGACAGCTAGTAACCTTTTCAGACACAGACCTAATGCTAGCCATTCTCATTCTCTCTGACCTGTTTGTGCTCTGGTTAACCTCCTGGTGGTTTTCCAGTACTGTATGTATAAGACCTGAATATATATATCTATATATTGTAGGTACACTATATATACAAAAGTATGAGGACACCCCTTCAAATTAGTGGATTCGGCTATTTCAGCCACACCCGTTGCTGACAGGTGTATAAAATCGAGCACAAAGCCATGCAATCTCCATAGACAAACATTGGCAGTAGAATGGCCTTACTGAAGAGCTCAGTGACTTTCAACGTGGCACCGTCATAGGATGCCACCTTTCCAACAAGTCAGTTCGTCAAAGTTCTGCCCTGCTAGAGCTGCCCCAGTCAAACATCTAGGAGCAACAACGGCTCAGCCGCGAAGTGGTAGGCCACACCAGCTCACAGAAAGGAACCGCGAGTGCTGGAAGCAACATCAGCACAATAACTATTCGTTGGGAGTTTCATGAAATGGGTTTCCATGGCTAAGCAGCCGCACACAAGCCTAAGATCACCATGCGCAATGCCAAGCATTGGCTGGAGTGGTGTAAAGCTTGCTGCCATTGAACTCTGGAGCAGTGGAAACGCGTTCTCTGGAGTGATGAATCACTCTTCACCATCTGGCAGTCCGACGGACGAATCTGGGTTTGGTGGATGCCAGGAGAATGCTACCTGCCCGAATGCATAGTGCCAACTGTAAAGTTTGGTGGAGGTGGGATAATAGTCTGGGGCTGTTTTTCATGGTTCGGGCTAGGCCCCTTAGTTCCAGTGAAGGGAAATCTTAACGCTTCAGCATACAATTACATTCTAGATGATTCTGTGCTTCCTACTTTGTGGCAACAGTTTAGGGAAGGCCCTTTCCTGTTTCAGCATGACAATGCCCCCGTGCACAAAGCGAGGTCCATACAGAAATGGTTTGTCGAGATCGGTGCGGAAGAACTTCACTGGCCTGCACGGAGCCCTGACCTCAACCCCATTGAACACCTTTGGCATGAATTGGAACGCCGACTGCGAGCCAGGCCTAATCGCCCAACATCAGTGCCCGACCTCATTAATGCTCTTGTGGCTGAATGGAATCAAGTCCCTGCAGCAATGTTCCAACATCTAGTGGAAAGCCTTCTCAGAAGAGTGGAGGCTGTTATAGCAGCAAGGGGGGGGGGACCAACTCCATATTTATGCCCATGATTTTGGAATAAGATGTTCGACAAGCAGGTGTCCACATACTTTTAGTCATGTAGTGTATATCTATATATTGTAGGTATATGAACTGAAAGTACATCTTTATATTGTAGATATACGAACTGAAGGTATATCTATATATTGTAGGTATATGAACTGAAGGTATATCTATATATTGTAGGTATATGAACTGAAGGTATATCTATATATTGTAGGTATATGAACTGAAGGTATATCTATATATTGTAGGTATATGAACTGAAGGTATATCTATATATTGTAGGGATATGAACTGAAGGTATATCTATATATTGTAGGTATATGAAGTGAAGCAGAGTACGGGTGTTGGGGCGAAGATCAACACATTGGTAAACAAAGCGACAGAACCACTCCATCCCAACGTGGAGGATAACAGGACACAAAACGTTAAGCATCTCTCCTACATGTTCTCCAGAGAAAAACAACACTTGTGAGTAAATACTGTATGATAATATAGGGTATACAGGACTGTATAGACTGTATACATGTACGGTGACATATGGACTTCAATTTCTGCTCCAATCCATCTTGGAATCAAGGACATTTAATGCACTTTAAATGTATATGTCTAGTGGCATACGGCATGGCATGTGGTGGCATATGCCTGTTGGCACACATTGAGGACAGGCAAGAAAAATAGCTGAAGGCATATACGTAATTCTGAAGGCTTGTATACATGACTATATACAGTATGTCTTCCAATTACATATACAAAAATGGTCTCTAAAATTCCATTCCTGCTCCTATCCATCTTTGTTTAGGGGCATTTAATGCACAAAATCTAATTGACAACTGTAGTGGCGTACGGTATAGGATGTGGCATACCCATTGACACCCACTGAAGACAGAACAGAACAATAGCTGAAGGTTTGAGGGTCTGACGGCTTGTACAATGACAGAACATCAATAATAACTGTGAAACAGTTTAGGGGATGTAAACCATTTCCTGGAAATACAGAGGGCCGAGCTGAACCCGTAATCGCGTAAAGCTTCCTGCAGAGACTTACCGGGAAAGACAAACATACCAGCTCACACTGCATGATCGAGCCCAGAAGCAGAAGTCAAATAATCATGATGTTGATGTTGTGTTTAATGTTAAAAAAGAAAGGGCCTATCAGCTTTGAATCTTACTCAAACAACGTATCTGTAAGGGCATGAGCTATAAACAGGGTTATTTCTGCAACAATTTGTTTTGTTGGTTTATTTGGTGTAGAGATTGGATGGCTGTCTATTCTGAGCTATTGGCCTAACACTGGAGGCTATGCTATTCCATCCCTGCTATCTATTAATCTGGTCTGCTGTAACTATGCTTACCATAACAATCCCCCATGGGTTATCTATGACAGGTCTGTAAGACCTTTAAAGACCTTTGGGCCCTCTGGTCTCTGGGCGGGTTAGCCTTTTGTCCCAGATCTGTTTGTGCTGTCTTGCCAACTCCACACCACGTGACAGTGACCAGCAGGAACTGATCTGGGACCAGGCTTTGTCCGGGCTGCCTAACCACTGACATCCTCTCTATAATGGGTTTCATTACACCTCTGTGTGTTAAGCAGGAAGGTGTTTATTGTATGCTGATACTTCACTAACAAAGAGTGTCTGTTTATAATGTGGTTAGATGGCTGCAAAGACAGCCTGCCCTTATGTACCCAGTTAATGCTACCGTCTCTCTCTCTCTCTCTCTCTCTCTCTCTCCTCTCTCTCTCTCTCTCCTCTCTCTCCTCTCTCTCTCTCTCGTCTCTCTCTCTCTCTCTCTCCTCTCTCTCTCTCTCTCTCTCTCTCTCTCTCTCTCACTCTATCAATTCAATTTCAATTCAATTTAAGGGGCTTTATTGGCATGGGAAACATATGTTTACATTGCCAAAGCAAGTGAAATAGATGATAAACAAAAATTAATTAAACAATACAAATATGAACAGTAAACATTACACTCACAAAAGTTCCAAAAGAATAAAGACATTTCAAATGTCATATTATGTCTATATACAGTGTTGTAATGATGTGCAAATAGGTAAAGTACAAAAAGGAAAATAAATAAACATAAATATAGGTTGTATTTACAATGGTGTTTGTTCTTCACTGGTTGTGCTTTTCTTGTGGCAACAGGTCACAAATCTTGCTGCTGTGATTGCACACTGTTGTATTTCACCCAGTAGATATGGGAGTTTATCAAAATTGGATTTGTTTTAGAATTCTTTGTGGGTCTGTGTAATATGAGGGAAATATGTGTCTCTAATATGGTCATACATTTGGCAGGAAGTTAGGAAGTACAGCTCAGTTTCCACCTCATTGTGTGGGCAGTGTGCACATAGCCTGTCTTCTCTTGAGAGCCAGGTCTGCCTATGGCGGCCTTTCTTAGTAGCAAGGCTATGCTCACTCACTCTCTCTCTCTCTCTCTCTCCGTGTCTGTGTGTGTGTGAGTGTGTGTTTCTTCATAACAGGTTCGATTTATCAGACAGAGACTCCTTCTTTGACAGTAAAACAAGAGCTTCAATAGTAAGTGTCATTGTGTCATCCAAATCCCCCATGACAGTAGACTGTAGACTGCTATCATTGCAACCATTAGTCACAGTAGATCATCTCAGTTTATTCATGGGAACCGTAATAGGAATGTACTGTTCTGTATGTACGATTTGTTCAAATGTTTTCTTATTCTTCCCTTATCAGGTTTTTGAAGTATTGAAACGTACAAAATGCACAAAGGCTAAGTATAGTATGGGTAAGTTATAAGAGTCTGCTTTGTTTTATATACTCAGTGTCCAAGAGGGCTTTTCCCTTCTGTGTAGCTTAAGCCTTATGCACTACATGCAGGATGTGTCTTGCAACAAGAATGTGGAACGGTATGCAGTGTGTGTTTGAGTGTGTCTGTATTTTATAACCTATATGCCTGTAAAATGTGTGCTTGTTTGTGTGAAATGTTACAGTAACACAGGAATAGTCACGTAGCCTAAACTCAGATTCTCAAATGTACCTTTAGACTTTTAAAATGGTACCTCTGGGTTGACGCTAGTACCACTGGTACCAACCATAAGTTGATGTACTTTGATGTGCCAAAAGCAGTGACTAAAGACCAACAGAATTACTAGGTATTTCATTTGGATTTAAAACACGGTACAACTTCCCCATGTCTCTGCCTCTAGGGCTCACCAGCCTGCTAGGGAGTGGAGTCTACACTGATGCTTATCCACTACATGATGTGAGTACTCATTGCAATCTGCGTAATTGTGTTTACAATAAAATACATCTTTATTGAACAATTTGCATCAGAAACGTATATCTTTGCTGTCTTGTGTTATTCCCAACCCCCTGGACACCACACATACTTCTGTTTGACAACATATGAGACATGGGAGTCAATTCCACTGCTGAGTGCTGAGTGCTGACTATACAATACAGTTAACTGACAACTTGACTGTATATGATTAGTAGACGTTTTAATAGGCATCGTTGAGTCCAGTCGAATAGGTCATGACGAGTCACATTGAGTAGGCATGTTGAAAACTAATCTGGACAAATCACAAGATCTCTGTTTTATTTGTTTTGCAGGGAGATGTGGATGGTGAAAACGTGGAGCCCAATGATAGGAAGGTGAGTGACATGAATATGGGCATTGAACTTATTTATTCCTAAGGAGACTACACTGATGTTAGACTACACTGATGTTAACAGACTACACTGATGTTAACAGACCACACTGATGTTAACAGACCACAGCGTGATATGCATACATGTTTATTTAAACTTAATTAAACACTCGACAAAACAATAAACGAAACAAACAAAACGTGACGTCCAAGGTAGACACAAACAACATACCTTACAACAAACCACAACTCAATAGTGCCCATAGGCTGCCTAAGTATGGTCCCCAATCAGAGACAACGAGCGACAGCTGCCTCTGATTGGGAACCACACCGGCCAACATAGAAATAGACATACTAGATCTAAACATTGAAAATACAACATAGAAAATCACAACAAGGAATATACACACCCTGACTCAACATATAAGCGTCCTCTGAGTCAGGGCGTGACATGTTAACAGACCACACTGATGTTAACAGACCACACTGATGTTAACAGATGACACTGATGTTAGATTACACTGATGTTAACAGACCACACTCATGTTAACAGACTACACTGATGTAAACAGACCACACTGATGTTAACAGACCACACTGATGTTAACAGACCACACTGATGTTAACAAACCACACTGATGTTAACAGACTACACTGACGTTAACAGACCACACTGATGTTAACAGACCACACTGATGTTAACAGACCACACTGATGTTAACAGACCACACTGATATTAACATACCACACTGATATTAACAGCCGTGTTTCTGGAGCTGGGTTAATGGATGCGTGCACAGCTGCTTGGTGTGTGAGCAGGGCAGACCCCTCTCCAAGACGATGGGCTGTGCCCTGGGGAGTGTTATTGCTGAGGATGACAGCTAAACAATCTTATCAGCTGACTCTGCTGCGTTGGCACAGGGACCTGTTTGTACTGGAGGTCTCTTCAGGGCTCCTCTGCTCTGCCTGCTGGAGAGCTGTGGGTGTGTGCGCTGTGCGTGTGTGTGCGCCCATGCACATGTGTGTGTACGTGTGTGTGTGTGTGTATGACTGGATAAGTGTGTACCTCTCCCCGTTGAGCCTGAAAGACAGTAGTGACTGTAGTAACTGTATCTGCCACTAGTTTAGAGCAGAATGTAGGTTTGTTTGGCTTTTCAACAGACATTCCTGTTTGCTAGCTTCTTCAGATGCTCTGGTGCTCAGTTCTTAATGGGCTGTTTCCTTCAATTTACACCTCAAATACTGCATGGAATGGAGGTCTGGTGTGTATGCTGTGATGGCTAGTCAGGAATAGTGCTTTGTCTTCACATTTTACATTACATTTTAGTCATTTAGCAGACGCTCTTATCCAGAGCGATTTACAGGAGCAATTAGGGTTAAGTGCCTTCTTAAGGGCACATCGACAGATGTTTTCACCAGTTGGCTTGGGGATTAGAAACCAGGCCGACCTTTCGGGTTTACTGGCACAACGCTCGTACCCACTAAGCTACCTGCCGAAAGCTACCCACTAAGCTTCACCGACCCAATAGTGTCCTGTAGTTTAGCATTTGTGCATAGTACTGTTCCTTTTTAAGATCATTCCTGAACATCTAGTAAACTGCATTTTTGGTGCCCTAAAACATAAGAAAGCGAAATATATAATTTAGCATATGCTTCATAGAGTTGAATGGAGTTCAGACAACAAGTAGAAAATACCCAGTATCTTCCTTGTTGTGTAGCTGTGTAGCTGGCTGTTGTGTGTTAATGGTGGTGTGGTACTGTCCGGACCATCTGTTGAGCATTAGAAGGATCCTATTGGCATCCCTATCATTGAAACAGAATAATGGCATGTAATTGAGGAATTCTCTCTGAACGGGGACGTGTCCAAGTGTCTTATCTTCCTCCCCCTGGGAAGGATCACAATAAGCTCAGCTTGGCAACAGATGGAATCTACATAGCGCCTGTGTGTGTGTGTGTGTGTGTGTGTGTGTGTGTGTGTGTGTCACGTCCTCACAACAAATTAGTTTTGTTAAATTATCGAACAGTTTACATTCTTATAGCTAGCGTAATCCTGTTGATAAGATCAATGCAAGCATACTATAGTTTAACAAAAAATAAGTGTCTCATAAAGAGGGGAGGTGGGGAAGAGGATGGAGAGGAAGAGAAGGAGGAGGGGAGGAGGAGGGTATCTTTGGGTGGTGACACAACAGGAGAAGAAGCTGCCTGTCTGTAGCCGTTGGTTAGCATGTTGTGGAGAGAGAGAGAGAGATGAGAGAGACGAGGATGAGAGAGCGAGAGAGAGGCGAGCGAGCGAGCGAGAGATGAGAGAGAGAGAGAGAGAGGAGAGAGAGAGAGAGAGAGAGAGAGAGAGAGAGAGAGAGAGAGAGCGAGAGAGAGAGGAAGATGAGAGAGAGAGAGAGAGAGAGAGAGAGAGAGGACAGAGAGAGAGAGAGAGAGAGAGAAGACGTAGAGGAGAGAGACTAGAGAGAGAGAGAGGAGAGAAGAGAGAGAGAGAGATAAGAGAGAGAGAGAAAGATCTCTGTGACTATGTGTTATTTTGATATGACCTCTGCCTGTGGGGTTGGAGGGAGAGAGAGAGAGAGAAGAGAGAGACCGTGCCGGTAGAAAGGGGAGGAGAGGGAGGAGAGAGAGAGAGAACCGTGCCGTAAAGGGGAGGAAGGGAGAGTGAGAGAGAGACCGTGCCGGGGAGGGAGGGAGGAGGAGAGGAGAGCTTCACCACACCCCTCTGTTGACTGTATGGTATGTTGTGTCCTCTGGCAGGCATCAAGGAGGTCTGTTTCCAACACTCTGAACCTGCTGACGGAGCCCCGGACCACCAACCCCAGCCAACCTGTAGATGAGAGAAGAGAAGAGAGATAGATATAGAGAGAGATAGCAGATAGCGAGAGGAGTAGAGATAGCAGGAAGTAGGATAGAGAGAGAGAGATAGAGAGAGAGAGAGAGAGAGCAGAGAGCTTTAGATCTTCCTAGCTCTTCGCTCGTCCTCGGCTCCTCCTAGCAGAGCTCTATACGTCGACGCCTCTCTCTCTTCTCTCTCTTCTCTGCGTCTCTCTCGCTGCGTCTGTTCCTTTTTGACTTTTGTCTTTCTTTAATGATACATTCTCATTTCATTAAAACCTTCTCCAAACATCCACTAGGTCAAACGGATTAAATGATGTCCCTTAACACCCCCACTGAGCCTGTATGAGGCTCCTTCCCATTTCTGTCCTTCATAAAATCCATCAGTTTTGTTTTTACAGTTCCATTCCCCGCCGACCACCAGCGTCTCCTCAGGCGCTACCTGTGAGAGTTCCTGTCTAAGACACCCAAACAGACGCCCCCTCTCTCCCTCTATGTTAGGCACATACACATTTATAAGGACAAACCCCTGTTGTTAATTTCTGCTTTTACTATGAGCAGTCTACCCCTACACACCTCCTTTGAGGAGCACATTTTTACGGCCAGACCCGGTGCAAAAAGGATTGCCACCCCTGCACTAACATTTATTCCATGGCTCAGCACACTTGCCCCTTTCCACTAGAGCCCCCAATCAACTTCATTCATCACATCGCAATGCGTCTCCTGCAGAAACAACAACTGTACTTTTCTGTTTTACATATTCACCCAACAGACTCTTCTTTCCCGCATCTCTGACGCCATTTATATTAAACGAGCCTACCTGTAGAGTCTCCATAAGAAGTGGGAGAAAAGCCAGCAAAGAAAGAGACCAATAGCAAAGCTCAAAAAGCTATTAATCTAAACGCACGGTTGTGACCCACTTCCTCAACCTAAAATGTTTCCTGAGTGAGAGGACACCATGCCCCTCATTTTTCATAGCGTGTTGGACTGATCTTACAAACTTCCCCGGATCGCAAAAAAAAGATTAACCTTTTTCCCTTTAGTCTCATTCAAGAACCTTGACAGTTCCCTCATGTTTTTTTGTTTTTTTTGTTTTTTGGGGTGGGGTAAGGGGGGATAGAAGGATTACTTTATCCTATCCCAGGTATTCCTTAAAGAGGTGGGGTTTCAAGTGTCTCCGGAAGGTGGTGAGTGACTCCGCTGTTCATGGCGTCGTGAGGGAACTTGTTCCACCATTGGGGTGCCAGAGCAGTGAACAGTTTTGACTGGGCTGAGCGGGAACTGTGCTTCCGCAGAGGTAGGGGAGCCAGCAGGCCAGAGGTGGATGAACGTAGTGCCCTCGTTTGGGTGTAGGGACAGATCAGAGCCTGAAGGTACAGAGGTGCCGTTCCCCTCACAGCTCCGTAGGCAAGCACCATGGTCTTGTAGCAGATGCAAGCTTCAACTGGAAGCCAGTGGAGTGTGCGGAGGAGCGGGGTGACGTGAGAGAACTTGGGAAGGTTGAACACCAGACGGGCTGCGGCGTTCTGGATGAGTTGTAGGGGTTTAATGGCACAGGCAGGGAGCCCAGCCAACAACGAGTTGTAGTAATCCAGATGGGAGATGACAAGTGCCTGGATTAGGATCTGTGCCGCTTCCTGTGTAAGGCAGGGTCGTACTCTGCGAATGTTGTAGAGCATGAACCTACAGGATCGGGTCACCGCCTTGATGTTAGCGGAGAACGACAGGGTGTTGTCCAGGGTCACGCCAAGGCTCTTTGCACTCTGGGAGGAGGACACAACAGAGTTGTCAACCGTGATGGCGAGATCATGGAACGGGCAGTCCTTCCCCGGGAGGAAGAGCAGCTCCGTCTTGCCGAGGTTCAGCTTGAGGTGGTGATCCGTCATCCACACTGATATGTCTGCCAGACATGCAGAGATGCGATTCGCCACCTGGTTATCAGAAGGGGGAAAGGAGAAGATGAATTGTGTGTTGTCTGCGTAGCAATGATAGGAAAGGCCATGTGAGGATATGACAGAGCCAAGTGACTTGTTGTATAGCGAGAATAGGAGAGGGCCTAGAACTGAGCCCTGGGGGACACCAGTGGTGAGAGCACGTGGTGCGGAGACAGATTCTCGCCACGTTGCTGGTAGGAGCGACCTGTCAGGTAGGACGCAATCCAAG